CTCTGACTTTGTTTCAGAAAGTATGGTCCGGTTCCGCTTTTCGTGGCAAAATTCCAACAGTAACAACAAAACAAACCAAACCCCCCCCCCCCAAAAGAGAGGCCAGCCAAGTGGGGGACCCACCCCCTCTGATCTGGCAAGATCTTGGGTCACATCGATGTAGTATCTTGAGTTTCCCGCCTTTTTATTTTTTTTTTTTTCCTTTCCTTTCCTTTTACTACCTTTGTATGCATTATCCTGTTCTTATTGTTCCCTTTTCTCGTAGACGGCCCCCCTCCGCTTCGCACTCCACTTGGTCCCTGGTCCCTGCTCTTTTTGGGTGTTCTTCGGGTTTCAGTCGGATGGTGATCCTTTTAATCGGATTGCCCCGACAGAAGATGGACCTGATCTCTTAGCCGAGATGATCCGGTACCTTTTGAGGGACATGTGTCTCCATTGATGTAAAACTTTGTGTGTATCCTGTTTGGGAAACAGCCGAGGTTCAGCTGGGTACTTGTACTTCATGGCGGGAGGTAGATGGGTCATGGAAGACCTCGGGTCCTGTTGACCGTCGTTTTACAAAGTCTTTTTTTATTCGGTGTTTACGTTTTAGTATTGCCGTTTGGGGCGGCACGGTAAGGTAGGTCATTTGAGTGCTTGAGTGCTTGAGCTATGGGGATCGGTAGTTGGAATGTGTTGGGTTGGTTTTCGTTTGTCATACTTTGTTTCCTTTGTGTTTTGGGTAGAGGATGATCCTACTCCGTATTTTGTTTGTAACCGTGGGGTTTATATTTATAGAGTCGGATGGTGGGAGCGGGTTGAGAGTTATAGTAGGCATCATGTCAAACACGAGTTAATATATATAACGGAGACTTATTGGCTGCCTCTGTGGTTAAACTATGGTCGCTATGCCTGATGAGTTATATATATCGGGGATCACGTGGAATGATTGGATCGGTAGTGTGAAGCATTGACGTTTGAATTAAATGAAAGAAACGAAATGTCAAAGTTAATTAAATGAGGCAGATTACATCATAGTCAAACTATATAGATGGTATGGGGATGATGGAATCCCAATGTCAAACTCCCGGCGCCCTTGCTGATCGAACAGAGTATCTAGATGCTGATCAATTGTGCGACTAGCAGGTCTGGATCCAGTTATCCAAATTCATGTTCTTGATGACCGTCGAGAAATTGGAGGATCCTTCGAAGTCGCAAGCACTCTTCTTCTGGCTTGTGGTGACCATTTGGTTGTTGTTGGTGTCGTCGCCCTTGGGGTACTCAATGTGGAAGACGGGCTTGTTCTTATTGATGAATGCGGCATAGGTGTCGCACTCCTCATATTGCGCGCATTGCTCGTTCACGCTCCACTGCATGTTGTCGATCACTGCGGGGATGATCGCCCCGGCATTCTTCAGGCCAATGGACATATTGCGTGCATGCGCTTCGTTGGCGAGCCACATCATGAAATTCGCCGAATCCTCTTTCTTCATATCGAGACCGTTGTCGTTGTCATAGGCATCAACGTTATCCGGGTCAACTCCATCGCAGTCCTTCTCGACCGCCATATCCAGACGCGACGTCATGATGCTGCGCACGTTCTTGGAGTTGAGGTCAAGCCATTTCTCATCCGGCCATCCATCCAGCGTGTTGCCCATGTCGGAGTCCTTGAACTTGTCCTTGTCGGGCCTCCAGTTCTCGTAGCTCCCAGCGGAGAAGTAGCAGATCACCTTGCGGCCTTGCTTTTGCAGCCCGTTAATGGTGGACTTGTCATTGTTGAAGAGATCAATGTCGTAGATATCCGCGTCTACTGAAGTGTCGTTGAGCGCATACAGAAGCTCAATCTGCCATTTCGTTCCTACGGCCGGCTGCCACTTGGCTGTGGTCACGCCTCCTCCGGTGGTAGGCGGAACCTCGCCTTCGTCTTCCCCTCCGCCCTTATTCAGACCGACTCCCAAACCAACTCCTAGACCAATAGCGAGGGCGATCACGAGAACGACAGAGCCGATAATCAGCATGCGCTTCTTGACGGACCAAGTCTTCCAGCCAGACGCAGCTTGTCCCTTACCCTTCAAGGGCAGCGCCTCATCAATACCTGCCATAATGCAATCGATTTCACAAACAAAAAAATTCCGGTAAAATGAATGACTAAAGAAAGAAATGTTCAAAGAAGGGAATTCTAAGAAAGAAAGAAAGACACGACCTGCGATTTGATTTTCACAAAACCACAGCCGTAAGGTGGGGGGATGATAAGAAAATTTAAAGAGAACCTGAAATGAAGATCAAACGATACGATAATGAAGCAAATGAAGTGGCGTATTCTGGAGTAGAGAACCACAGGGCTCTAAGGCAACCGTTAAATGTATAGGCTAGGAGAGGACAAAGAAATCCCTCTCTCAGCGGTTACACCGAAACTATGAAGTGGCTTGTCCAGAGATTGCGTTGAGGTGATCCGGGGAATCGGATGCAGAGACGCCTGCCCTGGGTTGGAATTAAAGGCAAGTGAATGCCTTACAGACAGCGGCAGTCCCAGTCCAAACAATGGACTCTGCCACAGTGGCTGTTGTTTCGAGGTCACCTGCGGTGCAAACTTACTAATGAATGATGGCTTTCAAAAAAAAGAGGAGAAAGTATATGACAGAGGGAGAGGATGAGAAAACCCGGGAGCCTAGCGTTGTGACTATTGCAGTTTCGCCTCCGCGATCTTCCATCAACTCTTCTTTTTTTTTTTTTTCCCCCCCCTTTGAACCCTTAGGCGCCAATAAGGGTTCTGGACTCAGGGTCTACAGGCTGGAGCACCATGATTATGTTTGGGGTCCAGGTTCGAATCACATCACCAGTCAAAGAAGATGACAGTAATTTTTTTTTTTTTCCTTTTGCTGATGAGTACTCCGTAGTAAGTCTGCTAACAATTGTTACTTGGTTCTAAAAAGCTACCCGCTGGCATAACCATGGGAATTCAACACGGGCTGTCCTACAGGACTAAGTACTTTGGCACGAGATTAGCTTATGACAATCGTCCCTCAGCAAAAAAGTGAAAAGAAAAACCTTAACACAAAAGAAGGGACCAGAAAAAGAGCATTGACAAGGATCGCTGACTAACAGATTGCTTAACTAACCCCCAAACAGTAGATTTCTTTTTCTTTGCGTGACTGGTTTTTTACTGATTTTTGGCTCCTTTTTCTTCCCGATTGTCCGCCGGCCTGGAACTCTGCCAATCACTCTTCTTAGCGCCTTACGAGGATCCGAGTCGAATCTGATCAATCCACTGTTTAATCCACGGACACTAACCCTTAACTCCCGATTTAATGTGGGCCGAGTGGTATCGTTACCCCTCGGTTTTGGCATACACGGTCTGTTACATACCTCCCGTAACTTTTATTTGCAAAATTCTCAATACCAGAAAAGTGTACCTGGTTTTCTTCCTCATGCATGAATAGTACAACAAATTGAAGCCACGACAAGCCTCTACGCCCTGACTCAGGTCATCAAATCTATACAAAATGGTCCGCGTCTCGTATAGAATCTAGCCTGAGACTAGTGAACCGAGCCGCAACACATGCCCAGCATCAACTTGACGGCTTTAAGGTACCGGATGACATAAAACATGGCCCAGGCCAGTGTACTAAACTGAAGATGGATGGGACCTCGGGTTTTAGTTGTGGGATTTATCAACAAGGTTCTCCACCTACCGAAATGAAGGATATTCTATTCTTTGTTTCTCCACTACCACGTTTCAGTGGCGCGGAGGAACCGATCATCAATTATTTTCTTCTTTCCCAACACGGTGTTGGCCGATGCGCTCTTCTCAACCAATCGCCAGGATTTCCCTTCCTTCGATTAGGTCTTAGGACTAAGAGGGCGTTTAGGAGACAATATCCCTTTACCCGAGACTGTCTACAGGTTGTCAGCAAAGTGCCAAGAAGAGTTTGATTCAGTGATCCAGTTGTCATCTGAGGGACTAGAAGGAAGGCTCTATTTTCCCTCGGCCGTCGGCCGGTAGGATTGTGAGCATTCAGCGCGTCTTTGGACCAGTCACACTCCGCCAGCGCAGAGCTTTTGGACCCTGGCAGTTGGTTGAAGCTTGTCCTGCAGCACAGTTACTGCCGTTATTGGAGAAGTGGGCGTGGGGGAAGGCTACTACCGTGTCTGCACATACATACATATGTAGGGTATTACATCAATTCGGAGGAATTAAATTCCAATAATTCAAACAAGTAAGGAAACAGCCAAGATGCCCGGCTGCGACGGCATCTTCCGACGTCCAACACCTAGACCGCTCTCGCCACTGTATGACCCGACTCGACTTTCTCATCATACATGATCAGGTCATATTATAGCTCATAGTTTTGGTTTCTAGTAGATTCAGTCTCGACCTCGCCCCCGCCCCTCTCGGCTCGAATACGAGAAAAAGCATACGATCGAGATTATTCCTCCGAGTCATGTCTGATGCAAGAATGACACACTTGGCACTATCTAGTCTCCAGTCTAGTGGTAAAGAAAGCACAGATATAGAGTTCGTTGTACATACGTGTCTGTGTGTACATACTAATGTGTATGTGGTATGCTGTGTCATGTACGGCGACAGGAACAAGACAGGACAAGGGGTATTGGGAATTAACTTATCTTTTGAATTTGTTTTTTTCATTTTTTAGTTTTCATTTTTTTTTTTTTGGCACTCCATATGTCAAACTGATACGATTACCAAATATATGACGTTCCCAAAGTTAAACCCCGATAAAGTCTCATCCAGTAATTATCAATCACTGGTCCTTGTGTTCTTTTAGATGAGGATTAGATTAGGGTTGAACTCTGTTGTTGTGGAGTTGGCAATGGAAAGGAACTTAATAACTACTTACTCCAGACTAGTTTTGATGCCAGTCAAGTGTCAGACCATCCTTGGAGGGGAACTAACTAATGCGGCCAATCAATGCTTATAAATCGTCCTTGGGCCTTTTTGACAGCTTATCAATTTAATATAAATTGGATACACCCTACTGTTGGGGGAACGACTAGACTAATTTTAGAGGTCGCTTAAAACCCTAATGAGGACAAGGATCAAAACAGGAAAATATTTGTTCTGGGATATCAAATCACGGATCCTGCCAAGTCCGCCATGTCTCACTTTCGTTGGCATCCCGCCCTCGACGTATGAGGTGAGGGGAGGCGCAATGGTTGGAAAGAAAATAGCAACAGGTGTTTTTAGGCCGGGTCATTCAATGTGGCGGATTGAATTAGTTGATTAATTGGGAAAGGTAGATTTATCATTTTTTTTCTTGTTGTCGGTGTATCTTCGGATTTGGGGGCGGAGTGTGGAATGTTGGGGGTTAGTACTGTGAGTCAGGGGGGTGGGGAGTTTCTGTAGAAGAACATCAATTGATCTTGGAATATGTGGGTGGATGATTTCGGGAGGGGCAGTCCAGTTTGCAACTTGAAGACGGTGCCTGGCTGAGAGGATAATTCCCCGTTTGGGTTGTTGCTGGTGGGTTGGCTGTGTGTGTGTGTGTGTTTGCTTTTTGCGGGCGGGAGGATGTACGAGATTTTCATTGCGACGCAGGCTTCTTCTCAAGGATTGTCTGTATTTAGGTAGGTACTATGTATATATGCATGTATAGTTATGTATGTATATATGTACCAAATATTCATTTATTTCTCCCCCCTATTCGAAATCGCTACACGAAACCCATTAATAACATTAGATATTATGGTCCAGGGAACCCTTTCAAAGCCCTTCCATAATTCAATATCGTTCAATCCATTTACAAGGGAATAGGAGTTGAGAGAGAGAAAGTGACGGGGGATCCCGACAGCTGCACCCAGACGGTGAGTGGGTCACTGCCGTACTGTTCGGTGGTGAAGCCCTTGGTGTCGGTGGGGGCGACAGGGAAGCTGACGGGGATGGGGGCATTGCAGGTGTTGTCCTTGGCGGTCAAAGTCACGCCAGTAATCTGCTTGTTGCCGATGGTGTACTGCAGGGAGTAGTTGCACTGATCACGGTTGTAGCGCTCGAGGAAGTTGGCCGACATCTGGGTTAGTTAGTTAGCAATGGCGGGGTTTTGCGAAGGAGGGTTTCCAAGATTTCTATAACTTACCTCCTGGTGCGTGATGGTAACAATGGGCCAGTCTACCAGACGCACGAGTTCCTGCACCATGGTTTCTACCCACGCTTGCATAATTGACCATTGGCCACTTTCGCCGTTGATCTCAACCCGGCCAACGCCAACATTGCGAAGATTGGCCTGATGGAACATGTAAGGATCGCGATGAAGACCGAAGAGATGGCGCATGGTGTCGGCCTTCTCGGTCGCGAGCAGGTCGCTGAAGTCACCGCTGCCGGCGGAGGTGTCAATCCATTCCTGAACGGTACAGGCAGGGGTATCGCAGTTGTAGTAGATGCGAGTGGCCCAACGAGGGTTCACCTGCATACCATCGAATCCATCCGATGCGAAGGTAGTGAAGTAAGGCCACATGCTGTTCTGCTGGTTGAGGAGCGGTGTGCGAGTGTTATCACCAACACAGTTGGTGATGCCGTTTTCGTACCAGGCCCGCAAGGCATCGCCGTTGTGCAACCCAGTGATGGCGGGAGGGATGATACCGTTGGATGTGAAATACTTGGCATCATAGAAACCGCTCTGTCTCAGCCAAGCCTGGTTGAAAGAGATCTCCCGCTTAACGTCGTTGTAGGTGGCATTGTTCTGCTCCTCATGAGTGAAAGTGTGAGAGATGTGACCATATTTGTCGCGGTTAGCAGGGGTGGTCCACCAGATGAAAAGATCGTCCAACTTAGTGCACTCAGTAGTCCAGTTGTACTCGGTCTGGTCCTTGGGCCAAAGGTCAGTGCCAGTGCCTAGAGGCTTCTTGAACTCCATAGGAGTATCAGGGGGCGAGTCGTATTCAATGCCACCTCCGTTGCAGACATCGGCATCCTTGCCAGCAGCGGACTCGATGACACCGTTGCCATTGTGTCCGACCTCAACAAAGTAGGAGCTACCAGCGTTCATCTTGGCGTTGATGGTCGGAAGCCAGCTAGAGATACCATCCATATCTTCGGTGGTAATACGGAAAGCCGTTCCATTGGGGTGGTAGATATCGGTTTCCAGGAACATGTCATCAATCTGGGTGTTGAGGTTGACGCGACGGTGGCCAGCGTAGAGACCCCGAGTGAGCCAGTTGATCCATGCGTGCTGCAAGTAGTTGGAAGTTGCACTCCAGGTGGTGTCAAAGGACAAGAAGAAAGCCATTTGCTGTCTGCCATTGAAGTTGTTGATGACTGCAGCAGTAGTCTCGCTGCCGTAGTTACCGTTGGCGGCGAAACGAGCAATTTCCTTGGTGGTAGCAGTATCACTAACTGTGGCCGGGTAGTGCCACAGGCCTGTCGTACTGACACCAGCACCGGTCTTCAGGCCGGCTTCCTTAAAGTCACTGACGTCCGAGAAAGAAACAAGCTGCTCCACACCGGAGTCGCAGCATCCTCCACCCACGGCAGAGGCACCGTAGTTGGGTCCCGGATAGACATCATACTGCACCATGCGTACACTATACTCGAGCTGATAGGCATAGAGTTGATTCCATTGGTCGGTAGTCAGAGCGCTCTGGAAGCCTTGGGCACCATAGTCGTAGCTGACCTCGCTCGCAACGACGATACCTCCAAAGTTTCCTCCGGAGGTGCTGTTCAGCTCGGGCAGGGTAGCACCGGACTGGGGAACGAGCAAGGTAGTGAAAGGAATACCATAGCCATTGAGGCCCGACGTAGCCACATTAGCAGCAGCTGTGTCCTTCGCAATCACCAAGATGTCACCCGCGACGTTACCGTTGGTAATGGCCGAAGCGGAAGGTGTTGCGGAAGGAATGATACTCGACGAAGGAGTAGGAATTAGAGACATTGTGCTGGAGGCACTCACAGGAGTGCTGGCAGAAACGCGTGTGCTAGTAAACGAAGGTAGAGAGGTTGAAGTGGAGGAAGCGAAAGTAGAAGAAGTAGTGGTAGTAACGAAAGACGATGACCCCGTGACAAGAGGGGAAGAAGGGAACGACAGGACCGACGAAGTAATGCCGGGAAAGCTGGTCGTGACTCCAGATGTGCGTGAGGGAGGCACAGGAGCAATCACACTTGGGATACCTTCAGGCCAAACACCTGGGGGAGTGTCGCAAGTTATAAGTCCGAAGTAACAGCCAGTTCTGAGTAGCCACGGCAGAACCATTGGAGGCTGGTCCAGGTTCCTGAATGGGCCCTGGGGGGGTGGGTATGGAAACAGACAAGAAAAAGATGCAGAGATTGAGGGCGAATGATAACGAATGACAGTGTGGACCTGTTGGGATCCAATCCACGAGAATACCTGCTGATCGACAAATCCTGTAGGTCGATGCGGGCACAATCACATTATATACATCGGTTTTCTATAGCGGAAGTCGGGAGCTTCAGAGCCTATCGCTCTATGCAGAAGCTTTCAAATCTTCTGTGTTCACCTTGAAGGAAGCTCCACTATAGGACCACCTGGTGTATTCACGGACTTCTGTCGGCTACGGAGTTATTCTTTTTTTTTTTTTTTCTTTCTATACTTTTACTTATTTTAATTGGACTCAGATTTCCTGTAAACCCTAAGAGGCTAAGTTTGCCGAAAAATAGAAGGGGTTAATAAAAAAATAAAAAATAGAAATAAAAATAAATATCAGCCAAGAATCGACCGATTGGAATCGATTCAGTTCACGGAGGCGATAGAGTAAAAGCCGATGGCTTGCATGGGTGGAAATTGCATTAAGACAAAATAGGTTGAGTACGCCATCGCTTCCCAGTCAGCATCGTGGATATTCCCTGCACTAGTCAATGGGCAACCAGGGAAGGAGAGAAGCGATACGGAGTTGCTCGTAAAACATTCGGCCATGACCCGGAAGCAGTGGGCTGAGCCGCTGCGGAAGAGTTGATACCATTGCCAAGATACTGTCTAGGCAAAATCGGATTCCAATTAGTAAAGGGTCTCCATGGCCTGAATTGGAGCCTCAGCGTCTCAAGAGGCGATAAACTGGATGAAAGGGGCCAGCTGTGGGGTATAAACGAGAAGGAAGTTGGAAAGAGGAAAACGAGAACGGATTTCATGGATCAAACAGTCGGAGAAACCTTGTCGGCTCCATGCAGGCTGACTCGTATTGATTGATTCCCAATTATTTTGTACTAGTCGACACAATTTTAGTGTGAAGAGGATTTTCGGCTTGTGTTGATGGTCTCTAGGCTAACGGGTGGTTCAACTAACCTCAAAAAAGTTGGTTCAGGTACGGCGGGAATACTGTAGTAGGTACCGACTGTGGCTAGTGTGGTACATACATACAGTACCGAGTGTCATGAAAATCATCGTAATACGATTCAACCCGAAATACAGTCAATCATCAAAGTAATCTTTTGCAAAACTCCATCCATACCGTACAATACCGATTGAACCTTAGGATCACCACCACACTTAACCCTGTTTGGATCATATGCATCTCCGCCCCGCTATCCAACTTTTTATTTTTGTGATCCTCGTACGTAGGTTATTAATTTATTCAATATTTTTATTTTTACCTTTTTTTTTATCCTTTTTTTTTTTTTTTTTTTTTTTTTTCCTTTTTCTCCATGGTC